GGAAAAAGAGTGTTCATGTTAGTATCATAGAATACATACCACAACTGTTAAACTCAAACACTACACAATACGTCGAAAATACAATCCACCCAAAACCAAGGAAAATAACATCACAGACCCTTCCTTAGAAAACATCAACAGACCCTGACTCTTTATTCCAAACACTCAACTACAATAGCAGCAGGCACAGGCATACCCAGCTCCCCAAAAGAAGTAGTACCAAACAAAATAGAATACAACAGACACTACATTCCACCAACACAGGAGCAGACACTGGGAACGACTGCAATATCCATGATATACGCACCACTCAGAATGTGTCCACTAATTAAAACAACCACCCATCACAGAAGGCAGTCAGGCCCCTATCGAAACAAAACCGTGACTCTTTGCTAGCCAAACAATTGCAACAACCGTCTCAAAACAAAAAGCTGCATATACACAACGCCTAGAACAGATCAACACGAAACAGTGAACTCCAAGGAGACACACAAAGTAAAGCATATCCCCATAAAACTCCATTAAACAGTATTTGTATCACAACAGCTAGACGAGAGAAGAAGAAAAATCCCCGTAATAACTATGCTTATCACCATCACAATGAAACAGACAAATAGTGAAATATGTAAAAAACACCTTATCAAACTAGTTACAAAGAAGATAGCCTGCAAAATTACAGAACTCGATGCAGAGTTTCCAAGACAGTCTACTTTAGACCCCATCACGAATAAACTACACACCAACAATCCGAACCTGAACGCTAAAAAATAAACAACCGCAAACATTCCATACGAGCAGCAGAATAGATTCCTAAAAAAAAGAGAACCGAGTGTCCAGCCAATAACGTTGCGCCAGAAAGCAAAATACCAAGGCCTATGCCTAAATCTGATATTTGCATAGCGATTATTATTGAACAAACCATCATTTCAGTTTCATTATCAACAAACGCTGTAGACTATAGCTTTTGGATTCTGAATGAAATCATTTACCGATGGAATCAACACCGGCCATAGATAACTGAGCATGGCTTTGTAAAAAATCTGATCTGCCAAAAAAGAAATTCCATTGAATCTGTTTTTGTTTCTGCATATCCAGATTACCCAAATCAATCCAAAAAAGCCAATTTGCCATATAGCCCGTACTCTCCTACTTACTCTTTGAGAAAACCATATCTCTAATAATAGTTTAACAATCTTCGGAAGCACCAGATTTACTTTCCACACGCTGCACCAACGTTGCCAAACTTTCTAGACTACATAACAATGACACAGAACATGATTAATATCCTCCAGCTCACTTTTACAAAACAGACAGCTAGACTGGTCATACAATTGACCCATCTCTTTATCAACTCTACCATGACCGGTAGTTTTTGATGCACTACTTTCCACACAAAGGTTACCTTCGGCAGAGTATCTTTAGACCACACCAATCTCCAACATTGATCTTCTATCTTGCCATCGGATGCCACTTTAATACAAAAAGACTTCGGATTATAACAACCGTCCCGTGCTCCAGTCCAAACTAATCTGTCAATACTTTGTTCAAACTTTACTGCTATGTTCAAAACATTCATGAATTCATTCCACATTGGCTTTTCTCATTCAAAGAATGCTCTCCTAAGTTCGAACCTCCATTCCCATACACCATTTACCCAACACCCAAAGTCTTTGATCTTACCGCATTTTTCGTCGACAGATCAAAAATTCTCGGAAATGCACTTTTCAGTGAACCTTTTCTGACTAGTAATCAGTCCAAATTCTATCATGTTTCCATTACCCATAACACACCTCAGTTCAAAAGGAATTTGACTCAATAGCCCGAGTTGGATTCACAATATTACGCCAAATCCAAGATGCGTTTTTATTTTTTACAGCTTTTGGAATAATCGAATCATGTTCCATTACCCATAACACACCTCATTCAGAAGGAATTTTGACTCAATAGCCCGAGTTGGATTCACATATTACGCCAAATCCAAGATGCGTTTTTTATTTTTTACAGCTTTTGGAATAATCGAATCATGGTCATAGTTATATTTGCTGTAACAATCTTCCGCCATAAGCTATCATTTCCACACTAAACCTCCAAATCCATTATTTAGTAAAGTCCGATTCCTAAATTTGACATCAAAAATTCCCAACCCCCCATGCGATTTTGGCCTACAAATTTTGTCCCTACTAATCCAGTGAATCCTCCTTTCAGTCGAGGAATTCCAAACAAAATTCACTATACATCTATTATCGTCTCAGCTATAGATTTGGGCATTGAGAAAATAGACATATATACACAGGCAAATTCACTAAAACAGATTTTATTAGTGTTAACCTTCCACTAAATGATAGTAATTTACCTTTCCAACTCTGAAGCCGATTTTAACTTTGTCTAAAAGGGTTGCCATATAGATTTTGCGTTCATCTGATTCCCTAATGGTAGACCCAAATACGTCGACGGAAGCTTTGCACATCCACAACATATCGATTCTGCCCAGCTCCTATACTACTCTCTTCCATATTGATGCCGAATAACTTAGTTTTTCCTTATAGCTTTAATCCCGCAGCCACTTCGAAAATTTTTAAACCCTATTAAATTTGAAATCGCACCGATTTTGCTTCAGAAAAAATGAGCAAGTCATCTGCAAATTGGATGTGATAAAACAATGCCTCCGGAGCCAACTTCAACCCCATTACATAACCCAATATCCGTTGCCTTCTTTGTCATACTACTAAGAGCCTCACCAACAATATTAAAAGCAGCGCGAAAGCGGACAACCTTGTCTTAAGCCCCTTTAATTAAGAAATTGTTTGACGGACATCCATTTTCTCCATCTTCTGCCGAAACCCATTTTCTTCAGTATCAAATTCAGAAATCGCCAATCAACCGTATAATAGGCTTTACTAAAATCTGCCTTGATCAACACTGCTTCCTTCTACTTTTCTCAGCCCATCAATGACTTCATTTGCAATCAAACTATAATTGGCTATCTGTTTTCCAACAATAAAAGCAAATTGATTCTCTCTAATCACTTCGGCAAGACAACTACCCATCCTTTTCACCAATACACGAGCTATACTCTTATATAAACTACCCACCAGGAAATTGGTCTGAACTCATCAGGAGAAATGGCCTATGCTTTCTTCGGAATTAGCGCAATAAATATTTATTAAAGGAAAAATCTTTAACTCTGCCCAGTAAAAAATCCTCCATAAACATCATAACTTCGCCTTTAATTTGCTTCCAGAATCTCTTTAAAAAATCTAAACTGAAACCATCCGATCCAAGCGCTCTAGATCCATCGGACGACTTAATTGTAATCCAACCTCCTCTTCCGAAAAAGGACTTTCAATAAATCTTCTGGTGGCACATTAATTCTCTTAAATGGATTTCTAATCTCTTCAAAGGGATAGTTTTCCGACTCATTATAGCCAATACGAAAATAGTTAACAAAGCTTTTTGAATTTTCCAGATTTTTAACAACAGAATTCTGCACCTTCAGCTTTGTAATCTGATTTTTCCGGCCCCTCGATACTGATGAGAGATGGAAATTTTTCGTGTTTTTATCGCCCTCTTTAAACCACCTAAACCTTGATTTTTAACCATTCTCTTTCTTCTTCCTCGTAACAGCCCATAGTTTTTGCCTTCAAACCAGAAATCTCGGACAGGATTAGGAAATTCTTGGATCGGACAACCCATCTATCTTCTAGATAATCAATTTTTTCTTCCAATCTCTTCCGCCGAATCTGGGTTTTTCATTACTTACTGCTCTCTCTCTATCCTTGGTTGCATTCTTCACCATCACAGTATATATTCATACCTTTACCTCTATTAACTCCACATGTTTTCTTTGATTGTTTGGCCAAAATAGGGTCATCAACCCAATGATTAAACCTTTAAATAGTCTAATGATCTTATTTAATCTACTCTCTTTTAGTACAATAGGTTTGTGGTCAGACAAACTCTTGGGCAATGAATCTTGTACCATTGAGGAAACAAACTAAATAATTCGTATATTAAAATCTGTCGAGCCTGCTCGCAACCATGTAAACGAAATACGCATGCCAGAATCTTAATTGCTATTCCATTGTTTACCGGAACTTAACTTACATCTTCAATGTCTTAATTAATTTCAATTTAGTCCTAGATATCTGGAATTTTGTATTTGGTAGTTTTTTCTTTTCACAAGACTTGAATTTTGAATGCCAAATTTATTTCCATAATTATTCTATCGTTATTGTTTTATTTTGAAGGATTTTTTACTGAAAATGTAATTAATGAGATTTATGATTATGAGTTAATTAAGAGAGATGTATTGCACCAACAATCCACACACACACGCACACATGTTTAATGGGACCAATTTGAATAAGTTTTGAAGTACAAAAAACAAAATTTCTATTATATTATTTAAAATTACATTATTTGTAAGGGATTGAAGATAATTTTACCACGCTGAGGGCCATCGGTTTTTGAGGTGCCAATAATGTTTTATATTTTAATAATTTAATGATTTCTTAAGATTACAAAACAAAAAATTAATTGAAAATTTTCCAGGTAATTTTTAGAAATAATCAATTTTTGATTGGATCAGTTTCTAAAAAAAATGAATTTTTAAGTTTTTAAAAATAAGATAATTTCTTTAATTTTTAATAAATCACTTTTCTGAAAAATTATTTCTCTTATATTTAATAAAAAAAAACTAATTTTTCAACCCTAGGGGTTGTCACAATTTTTTTTGGACTCTTCCATACACTGTAATAAAAAGGGCTGCTTATTTCTCATTTAAATTTAGCTTGGCTAGAAAACAAACTCGATTGACAGAACAAGACCAGGCTCAACATAAACCCAGATTCTTGGGTTTTACTTTTACTGGGTATTTCTTTCTGTCTAAACCGACTTAGGTCAACCGATCTACAAACATAAACCCAGATTCTTGGGTTTTACTTTTACTGGGTATTTCTTTCTGTCTAAACCGACTTAGGTCAACCGATCTACATATATAAACATCAATCACATTACCATTTGCATCTTCCTCTTCCACCTCTGCCGCCTACTGAGCATACGAGGGTTTTTGCGGTTGCTCTTGAAACATCTAGCTGCCCAGCCAAAATGGTCTGTTAAATCTCTTGCTTAGTTTCTTCTTGTTTATGTCGTTCTTTTTATGTATATAATTGAATCTGATTTGTGGGTGTTTGGGATTTTTATTTAGGTTCTCCAAAACGATGTCGATTTGTTGAATCCTCCAGCTGAGCTTGAGAAGAAGAAGCATAAGCTCAAGCGTCTCGTTCAGTCCCCCAACTCTTTCTTCATGGTGATTCATTAAAACTCTATTCCTTTTGATCTAAATCTCATATTAGCGCGTGTAAATATGTTGGGAGGTTAACTTTGTTATTTTGTTCTTTGCAAAGGATGTCAAATGTCAAGGCTGCTTCAACATGTAAGTTGTTACATTGTCTTTTAATCTTTAAAAAATAATGTAACAATATGTCTGAAGGTCGGATATTGGTAATCCGTCTTAAATTTTCATATATTTGGTGGACCATATTCGCTTACTCGTGTCTAAATATGTATCGGATACGTGTTCATTTTTTGTTTTGGTTTTGGACAGAACAACTGTGTTTAGCCACTCTCAAACTGTGGTTGTGTGTGGTAACTGTCAACTGTTCTTGCCAGCCGACGGAGGTCGAGCTAGACTCACCGAGGGATGCTCCTTCAGGAAGAGGGAGACTGATTTGCTACACGAATTGGTCTGAACGTGGTTCATCTTGTTTTTTTGCTTCAAGATAAGTTAGCTTATTGTAGTAAGTTCAAGGATTTGATTCTAAGCTTGTTACTCTGGTTTGATCAAGTAATGATCTGAGTTGCATTTTGATTGGTTTCCGGATATAATGTCTACAGTGTTTTACCAACGCAGAATAATATTTATTCATTACAATAGTTGTCACAATTATCGATCCCACACTGTAAATAAACCGCATTCTCATTAGGCGTTTTAAGCATTAGATTCCTATACTGTTTGGAATTCCCCTGCCTGTGATTCCATCTCCAGTGGTAGGGTATAGCAAACTGTAGGGCATATTAACATGACCTATACGATTCTAAATCTCTTGTCATTGTTCCTCTGCTCAATTCGTTCCTCAATTCCCGAAAGCATGTTCCCAAATTCCTTAAAAGATGCTAACACGGTTTCATCGGACGTCCATTCTGGTGAGTCTCTTTGTCCCAGATAAACTTCGTTCGATGGATGCTGTCGTAACCGGTTTTCGTCCGGGCACGAAATATTTATTTGGCGGGAAAAGTGATGAATAATGGTTTTGAAAATAATTTGGGAGTCGCCATCGGCCTTTTGGGTCAGGTAGGTCGAATACCTAAAAAATATCTTTTAAAAGAGTTTTTAAAAGATAAACTGATCTGCGTTTTAAACAAAAATTCGTTCTTTTTAATAATAAAAAGGGATTTGTGGTCGGTTACGTTTAGGGAAGGATTAGCACCCCTACAACGCCCAAAATTGGTACTTTTTAATTATAAATTGTCTCTATTATTAGAAATTTAAAAATTCAAAATATATTTAATTTATAATCCTATTTAATTTAAATTTATTATTATAATTTTAAGAAATATATTAATATATATCTTTATTTTTATAAATAAGATAATTATTTACTTAGAAATATCAGAAAATGGCTTCTAGTTGCTTTAAGACAGCTCCTTTCTTAATATTAATAAATAATAAATGTTAATAAAACATTTATCTAAAATAATTAAAATATATTAATATATGATTTATAAAATAGGACATTTATTTATTTAATAATATCAGAAAAGGACTTCTAGGTATTTTAAGACAGTTCTTTTCTTAGATATAAAAAATAAATACATCAAATATGTTTTATTTTTCTTAAAAGTAATTTATAAAATTAAATTTATAAAATAGGATTTTTATTTAATAAAAATAGAATAAATAATAATATTATAATATATATTTATATCTTAATAATAATAAAATCATGAAGATAATTTAAACATATATCAAAAGTAATAATAATAAAATAAATAATAATTAAAATGAAAGAAAATAAAAGTAATAACATTAAAACTATTGGATCATATTCATAAATAGAAACTTAAAATGTAAAAATAAAAACTTATGGTTAAAATTAAGATTATATATAATTTAATGATCAAATTATAAAATATAATATGTAAGAGACATGGTTAGAGTTATCATAAAATATAAATACTAGTATGTAATTAGCCATTAATTATTTAATCAGTGATTAAAATAGAAATATTAAAATTATTAGGGACTAAATGTGATATTTATCCTAAATATTATTTAATACTTGTAAGGACTAAAACATAAAAAATAAAATTCAAAGACTGAATAAAATGTTCAGAAATTAATTTCAGTGACTAAAATGAATAATTATAAAACTTGGATGGCTACGGAAAGGGTTTAGCCATGCGTGAATTACAGATATACCCTCCCCAACGAAATTTTTTAAGCTAAGTTAGACTTGAAATTAATTACATCAATTATACATAAAATTTTGGTTTTTTATAAACATGTTTGCAAATTGTGGATACTTTTTTCTGTAATTGTTCTGATTTATTAGTTTAATCACATATATCGATTCTGAGAAGATTAATATAGTGAACTCTTATTTAAACGGATAATACATTGAAATATTTTGACATTTTGAAATACGTTATTTATATAAAAAAAAACTTAAATACATCATTGCCTCCTAAAATATACCATTTATATCAAGTTGTCTCTTAAAATATTTTTTGGGACGTTTTACTCCTAAAGTTTAAATCTACATTTTGTTTACCCCAAATTGTTAGTTCCGTTAAAATAAAAAATCAATGAACAATTAAAACAGCCCATATATAAAGGTTTAGGATAAATAAGGTAACGATTTAAATTTTATGAGATAAAACGTCTCAAAAGTTACTCTAAAAAAAATTCGGAGACCATGGTGCATTCAAACCTAGAGAAGAAAAAGAATGTTTATATATGTTGATGTAACTAATTTAACTCTAATGTTGGTCACCTAAGCTCGATGCTTCTGTTTTATTTTCATCCAAATATCCCACCAATCACGTGTCATCGCTGTAGGAGAGGTGTCAACAACGGAATTTACAATGGATGACAAAATGATAACATAATAGTACAACTTTAGCGAGTGTTTTGTATGTTTTTGAATTTGAATGACCAAAATAATTTTTTTATAGGTTGGTGACCAACCGTCCGTGTAGTTTACTCATACATAGATTCTATTTTTAAAATTTTAATTATTTAATAAATTAGAAAATCTAGACAATTTGAATAGTGATATTGGAATAACAAGTATATAATAAATGAATTTGAATATTATACTAGTAAATTCTTGATCAAAATTATAAAAATTATAAAATCAGAATGACGTTGAAGCTTACCTCAAGAAGATGAATGATACCGGGGTTACCAGCAAGCATTTCTCTGGCGAATTCCTCATCGGTCCTCCATGCATTCGAATTCTCTGTCCATTTCATTAATTAAAACATCAAATTAGCAGTTTCTATATATATATATATATATATATATAGAGAGAGAGAGAGAGAGAGAGAGGGCACAGGGAATTTGAGTGGATGTTCGCTATCAATTCGAAAAATTTGTTTGAGCAACTCCAAGGGAATGATGTCGATAATATTATTCAGCAAATTGCTAAAAGGTATTTTAATTCCTCCGAAGTAGAGATCAAGAACATCCTCAAAGGACTCGAATTCATTATGAGTTCCATGAATCAGATCTCTTAGTTCGCGCAGTATGGATTGAACTCCAGATTTTACGAGATAACTTACAGTATCCGAAAACTTCAAACGTCCAAATCGTTCATCTCTCGGGACATAAATGGTAAAGATCTTGTGAAGCGGTAACCTACTCTCAGTGTTTGGATCTGTAATCCAAAGAACAAAAAACACCTTGTTAGTCGCCAATTGTGTGACCTGCTATCATAAATGTAATTTCTGACCTGATTTTGTCGGTCGTCTACCAGTGCTTCCTCTACGAGGATAAAGGGTACTGAGTAGATCCGCCAGGAACAGGTCGGACGAATTCGGGACCCAAATCAGGATTCCCCAAATCATTATAATAAGCATAACCATAGACACGGTCCCATTCTTGGAGCTCTCCTTCGCCATTCCCTCTCAACGCGTTGAGCTCTTCTTCTCTGTATTTACGCAGTGCTTCTGGCATCTCACGCGGAAGGTACGTCTTAGAGGAAAAATATCAAACACTGGTTAGTCATTATCAAAACACAAACACAAACACAAACTACATCACCAAACAAAAAATTAAGGATTGAATCCGAGTAAATCTATTCCTGTGCGACCATTAATGTTGAAGTGTATGTATACCTCGTTAGTGAAAAACAGACGGGGTTTTTCATATTTATGATCAGGATAAACCCAAGAATTGCAGACAAAGTGAATCCGGCCATGGCCTGGAACATTTTCAAGAGTGATAGACTTAAGGTAGAATTCAGTACGATGATTGTTTTTGATCAGTAGAGCTCCAGGTTTTCCGATTTCTTCATCCCAATCAAAGTTAACACTGAATTTTGATTCCCCAGCTAACGGAGAAATGCCCGTAAAACTCCAATGCCTCAAATACGCCGGTTTCCCAACTTTTCCGCGAAACTCATTATCTGCCGACTCAAATAATCAATGTCAAGGTTTAATTTTAAACAGCTAGATAACAATAAACATCCAACATTTTTAATAAACTTAGGAATTTAAAATATTGGAAAAAAAGTAAATTATCTTATAAGTCGCTCAACTTCATCGTTTTTACTTTAATTGTCAATTTTTTTAAATAAAATGTCATTAATATTATTTTTTTATTTTAATCATGGTTATCAAAACCGGACCAGATCGGCTGGTTTAACCGGTTGAACCGTTAACCGGTGGCCTGTCTGGTCCGGTTACCTCACAAAACCGGTCTGACAATAAACCGGCTGAAATCCGGTAAAACCGGGGTGAACCAACTGAAAACCGGTATAAACCGCCGTTTCACTTTTTTTCTTTAAAAAAAAAAATTAAATCAAACGACGTCGTTTGTTCAACGAGCCAAGTCAAATTCGAGTATTGCTGAGCTCAACTCGAACTCGAAAACTTTAAAAGTAAGCTCAACTCAACTAAAAAACTCACGAGCTAAAAATTATCAAGTTCAACTTGAACTCGAAATATAATATTAAAACTTGAACTCGAAAAGGCTCGAACTCAAAAAAAAAATTAGAAGTTCGATTGAAGCCTAAAATTTGAGCTCAATTGAAGTAAAAGAATAGTTCGCTCTGTGCTCACCAAAAGGCTCCATGATTTTAAATGTCAAATTACCTCTATTATTTATAGAAGTAAGTTGGGATGCTCTTCTATGTTTCTTAGCCATGTGGGATTGTTTTGTTCTCATATTTTTACTCTTTAAACTTTTGGGAAGCTTTTTTATGTTTCTTAACCATGTGAGATTGTTTTTTTTAAATTAAACTAAATGACATCATTTGTTATGATTTTTTAAACTCTAATTTTATTTTTTTGATTATAGTTATATAATTATATTTATTATTTAATATGTTTTACCTTAAATATTATGTTGTAGTTGATTTGAATAATTTTGTTTCATTTGATTTTATGGTTTTTAATTTATATATGTTATGACTTGTGATATTTTTATACCTTTTAATATTGTAAACTTAAAAAAAGTATTATATATATTAATATTGCTTTGAATATTATGTAAAATTAAAAAAAAATATTTTATATAAAATCCAGTTCAACCGCGGTTGAACTCGATTGAACCCGATTGAACCAGTGAATCAGTACCTTCACTGATT